AGGCCATTACATTAGAAATTTTAAAAGATTACATATTAGGCATGGATCATAGAAACTTAATTATATTTAGGAGTAATTAGAGTTGCATTTGAGTCACATGTTTTGTGCCAAGGGTGACTACACATGTGATGCCTCAAATGAACCCTAAATTACATCAAAATGTAATTAAGCTTCTAGATGAGAACCGGCCACATGGGGCACCAAGCTTGGACGTCCGAGTTTGAATTCAAATTTCAAATTTTGAATTCAAACTTGGCGCCAACTTTGGCTTCTCTTGGTTGGCGCCAATTCTTAATCAATCTGTGGTCTATATAAGTCCTTAATCACCCTTGTGTATTCACTCTGAGCTTATATGAGAATTTTCTGAATTTGAGTTCAACCATTCTCTCCCAAAGTCACTGAGAGCCATAGGTCTTAGCATTAGGAAAATCTCTTTCTCTTGCTTGGATGCTTCCAATCCTAGTTTAGGGATTCCATCATTTCTTGTTCACCAAATCAAGTAGTCTCTCTGGAGTTCAACCTCAAGAAGAAAGATCCATGAGTTTGGTGAAGGCTAAGGAAGAAAGATCATCATCCACTTCACTTACCTTCTCCATCAACATAACTTTCTTCATAAAGAATATCATTATGATGAATTTTCAATTGGAGCCATCGATGAACCTTCATCTTCAACTGGTTAATAAAAATCATAATTTTTGAGCCCATTATTCAAACTTAGGAACAAGAGCGAAAATATGCTAATGTTTGGAAGACTAGTATAACTTTGGATATATGAGTGAATTTTATTTAAGAGGACATCATATTACAGAGAATTATTATTATTTATCCAAACATTATTGTTTTCTTTTTATTATTTTTGTTTTTGACTCTTTTTAAATTTGAATATATGATAAAAAACTTTTGAACTCTTATCGTATGTCAAAAATACACGAAATTTTGTAAAATTTACAAAGTCCTGCAAAATCTATTAAAATCCTTACTTAAAAGACAAAATCATTAAAATCTTGATTTAAAGTCTTGCGAAATCCTACAAAGTCTTAAAAGTCATAAAAATCTTGCAAAGTCTTTTAAAATCCGCATGACTTTTTTCAACTAAAAACATCTTTTAAAATCCTAATTCAATATACCCCACTTAATTTTGAAGAGCTGTTGCATTTTTCATTGTTTGAAAAATAATTAATAAATGGAAAATCCCAGTTTTTAGTATAATTTAATAATAATTACAAAAAATTGATTTAAAAATTGTTCAATGTTATGAATAATAATTAGTGGCTTAATTAGTGGATGCCAATATTCATTATCAATCATTACCATTTATATTTCCGTTATGTATTATTCCCATTATTGTGTAATTGTTCAGTTACCACATGTACTTATAAATAGGTTACTCCTCTTCCAAAGATAATATATCAGTCAGATTCTTTTCTCCATCTCTTATTGTCTTGTTTGTTCTCTCTACTTTTCTCTCTTTTATAACACGTTATCAACACGATAGTCTTTTACCTATTGGTGTTACAACTACAAGAGAAAGTTGTGAAGAATTTTCTTCAAGAAGATCATATTTTTCAAGACAAATATTTTAAGGTTAGCTATTCATCTTTCATAATAAGAACTTTATCAAATATTTATATTATTTACGTTATTATGAATCAAAGTAGTCCTGAAGACATTATAGTAGTCCCGAAGATACTATGAAATAAAGAAATTCTTCATACATTTTTGAAATGTCTAGAAGACATTATCAAAGAAGAATGTTTAAACTCTATTATTTTATTAATTTATTTTTTTCACCAGAAGTGAGAAATATCTATGTTTTATTGATGCGATACATTCTACATATTACATACATTTATTTTGCCTAATATATATGGAATGATGAATATATTTATTCTGCCTAATAATAATATTATTATGACACATATTTTCTGCTCATATTATCAATTTAAATATTCTGCAATAATTTTTTTATGTCATATCAATATATATATATATATATATTTACTATATATTCTATTTATTTTATGTGATAATATATATTAAATTAGAGACAATTTGATTTCCATAATTAAAGCACTATTAATTTATAATTTTATGGCTATTTATGATTCCTTTATTATTATTATTTTTTTCCTCTAATTTTGTCTCTCTTTTATGATAGTATTGAACATGTCAAATATTGCGAAACTTGAATTTGTTGCTTTTGACATTACGGGAAAGATTTATTTATCTTGGATATTAGATGCTGAAATACATTTAGATGCAATGGATCTTGGAGACTCTATTAAAGAAGGAAACGAAGCATCTAACCAAGATAAGGCAAAAGCTATGATTTTTCTTCGTCATCACCTACACGAAGGGTTACAAGCTGAATATCTTACCATAAAAGACCCACTTGTTCTTTGGAACAATTTAAAAAAAAGATATGACCACCAAAAAACTGTGATTCTCCCAAAAGCTCGTTATGATTGGATGCATTTACGGTTACAAGATTTTAAATCTGTAAGTGAATATAATTCTGCAATATTTAGAATTACTTCTAAATTGAAATTGTGTGGAGAAAAAATTACTGATGAAGATATGTTAGAAAAAACATTCTCCACTTTTCATGCATCTAATGTGCTCCTGCAACAACAATATTGAGAAAAGGGGTTTAAGAAATATGCTGAATTAATTTCCTGCCTCCTTGTGGCTGAGCAAAATAATGAGCTTTTATTAAAAAATTATGAGGCTCGACCAACTGGCTCTGCTCCATTCCCTGAAGTGAATGTTGCAACACATGATAAAGAAACTAGTGGTTGTGGCTATGGTCACGGTCGTGGAAATAATTGTGGTCGTGGTCGTGGTCATGGTCATGGTCGTGGTAGTAAAGGCAGTTGTGGTCATGGTTATGAGGGAAAAAACAATTTTTCACACCAGAAGTAGAAAAATAATGGGAAAAATAAGAAGGAAATGGATGGACATGGTAACAAACACGAGAAAAACAAATGTTATAGTTGTGGTGCCAAGAGTCATTGGTCATGTAATTGTCGTACACCAAAGCATCTTGTTGAACTTTACCAAGAATCAATTAATAAGAAGAAAAAGATAGAGACACATTTTTCTTATGAAGATGGTGATTCAGATTATGGTCGTATGGATGTTACTCACTTAGATGTTGCTGATTTCTTTGCTGATCCAAATGAAAAAATTGATCACATTATTGGTGATGGGAGTGTTCAGAAATAATTTTTTTCTTCATATTTTATTGATTGGATTTTAGGTATTTCTTATGTTTTGATGTTATTGGATTATGAATTTTTTTTAATATACAAATTATTGTTAGATTTTTTTTTCCAGAAATTATTGTCTTGTTGTCTTTTATCATATTGCTTATTTACATTTTTTTTAATTTCATGAAAAATGGATATTGACAATAGCATCAATAATGAAGATATGTGTCTCGCTGATAGTGCAACGACTCACATGATTCTCAAGAATAATAAATTCTTCTCAAATTTAGTGATGCAAGAAATCAATGTTAGTATCATATCTGGTACTATAAATATAATTGAAAATGATCTAATTTGTCCGTGTATATTTATAAAAAGATTTGAAAATGGATTTGCCATAATTGTAGTTTATGTAGATGACATACACATTATTGGAACTCCTGAAGAGCTTTCAAAAATAATAGATTGCTTAAAGAAAGAATTTGAAATGAAGGATCTAGGAAGGACAAAGTTTTGTCTAGGACTGCAAGTTGAATACTTAGAAAATGGAATTCTTGTGCATCAAGAAGCTTATATAACTAAGGTGCTTAAAAGGTTTTATATGGACAAATCACATCCATTGTGTACTCCCATGGTTGTAAGATATTTAGATGTTAACAAAGATCCATTTAGGCCCCAAGAAAAAGATGAAAAAATACTTGGTCCTGAAGTACCATATCTTAGTGCTATAGGAGCACTAATGTACCTTGCTAATTATACACGACCTGATATAGCATTTGTTGTTAATTTGTTAGCAAGATATAGTTCTTCACTTATACGAAGACATTGGAATGGAGTTAAACAAATCCTTCGTTATCTTAGAGGTACAATGGATATGGGGTTATTATATTCAAATGTTCCCAAATCAGAACTAAATGGTTATGCAGATGCAGGTTATTTGTCAGATCCTCATAATGGTAAATCACAAACAGAATATTTGTTTACAAATGGTGGTACAACCATTTCATGGCGATCTGTAAAACAAACCATATCAGCTACTTCATCTAATCATGCTGAAATTTTAGCATTACATGAGGCAAGTCGTGAATGTGTTTGGCTAAGATCTGTGATTCAACACATACGGGAAACTTGTGGTTTATCTTCTGGAAAAATGACATAGACAGTTATATATGAAGATAATGTTGCATGTATTGCACAATTGAAAGATGGATACATCAAGGGAGATAGAACAAAACATATTCTACCAAAATTCTTTTTTACTCATGATCTTAAGTGACAACCTGACAGATCTCTTTATAAAGTCACTTCCAAGAAAAGTTTTTGAACAGTTGATACACAAGATTGAACTCCGTCGTCTTAAAGATTGTATGCATGAGGAAGAGAAATAAATATTTATGAATGATATACTCTTTTTCCCTCACTAAGTTTTTATTTCACAGGATTTTTCCTAGTAAGGTTTTAATGAGATACATTCTAAATATTGGACATCCAAGAAAGAGTATTATGAATAATAATTAGTGGCTTAATTAGTGGATGCTAATATTCATTATCAGTCATTACCATTTATATTTTTGTTATGTATTATTTCCTTTATTATATAATTGTTCAGTTACCGTATATATTTATAAATAAGTTACTCATCTCCTAAAGATAATATATCAGTCAAATTCTTTTTTCCATCTCTTATTATCATATTTGTTCTTTTTACTTTTCTCTCTTTTATAACATTCAAAAGTATTTGTGTTAAGAACTGAAGATCATTGAATAAATCAAAGTCCACCCAAAGTACCATTCCATTTCATTCCAGATCTCAAATTTGGGATATGAAAAAAAAAAAAAAAAAAGCAAAAACACACAATAGCAATTAGCATACATATTTTTTTTTTGTGAGGTCAATGCGAACCTGAATTACGATCACCGGTAACGAAAACCTTGACCCCTCTGTTCCTCAAGGTGTTAACCACCACCCACACCTTCTCCCCGTTGTCCACACTCTTCTTCTCGATCTCCTTCTCAGCGTCAAAGTGGACTCCCACCTCCGGCGCCTCTGTCTTCAGCCGCATCGCCACCACCTCCCCCACCGCCGCTGCCACCCTCGCGTCACACCCCTTCCCCCACTCGAACGCGCCCCTCACCGCGTGCTCCACGCTCGAAGCACTGGCCACCACCCTCCCCTCCTTCCACTGCACCACGTTCGCCGTCACGTGCTTCGCCGACACAAACACTCTCAAAACATACCTCCTCATTCTCCCCTTCGCACCCCACCCCATGGGCTCGCCCAATCTTATAGCTCTGGGCCTTTCTCGCTCCCGGCCCAATATCACATATCCTCTAGAAACTAAAAAAAAAACAGAGAACGAATCCATATCCATATTCCATTCCATTTTTAATATCATCACACGAATATGGCATTGGCAATGGGATTGATGGCATCATCACCTACGATCACGCTTATCCCGCCACGACTCAGATTCCTCGCGTATCGCAGTAGCAATAGTTCTAGTGTTGGCGCTGCTTCTAGATTCTTCCATTTGAGTTCTTCTCTTCCGCGTTCTATCTCCGCCATGAGTTCCTCCGAGTCGTCTTCTACAAAAACGGTGCGTTCAGGCTAATTCAATTTTGTTTGTTGTTCTTATTTGTATTGTGGTTGTGATTGGAGTCGTTGGTGCAGGAGAGGGTGGTGATTAAGGGGAGGGTGCAGGGAGTGTTCTACAGGAACTGGACGATTGAGAACGCGACGCAGTTGGGGCTGAAGGGGTGGGTGCGGAACCGGAAGGATGGGTCTGTGGAGGCTCTGTTCTCCGGGAGTGTTGACGCGGTGCAGGAAATGGAGCAGAGGTGTCGACGTGGCCCTTCCGATGCGCTTGTTACCGGAATTCAGGTGTTCCCCTCCGATGATGACCCTGGCACCGGTTTTCATCGCAAACCAACGCTTTGATCTTCAATCAATCCAGGTTAACTTAATTCCCCTCAAATGTTCAATTTAGTTGATTTGGAAGTGGAGAATTGTGTTTGGTTCACTCAGTTATGACTTATTTGTGTCAGACTGTCAGCTGTTTCGTCTTTGCATTCGTAATTATGTATGGGAGCTAGGAAGTGGTGAATTGCGGTGCACGTATCCTTTTTGATACTATTGTACTCTGTAGATTCTGTATTGAGAATAATTATATTTAAATTGAACCTTGCAATTTGACTCTGACTCAAGGTCATATTGAGATAAACGTATTGCTAAATACAGTACATACTGTGGTGATTGTGGGCATTAGCAGTGAGAGTATGTTAGTTTATAGATACCATTGGTATTTGGGGCTTATTAATGAGACAAAGGCTAGGGTGGAGAATGAGATTAAGTGGTGTATGGTGGACTATTATGATACACCGATAGATTAATTTTGTCCTTAAAATATCATGGTGGGCTTTCTGTACCATAACCTTTTTTTTTTCTTTCAATACTCTACAGTAACTTCAACGCCACAACCTCCCTTCCTTTCATTGCAACCTCGGTACCCGTTGATGCCCAAATACTCTAAAGGCCACCAATGACGATGCCAAATACCCCAAGGACCAACTGCATAGATTGGTTGGATCGCACAAATGTTGCTCAATATGCATATGGGTTGGCTGCTCTCGGTCATTGCAGCTGATCACCCAAAAATTAATCTTTGCTGATCTCGCATCTGATGATTTGTTGAGTTTTTATGCGGATAGGTGATACACTTGCTCATGAGTATGGTGGTTCTGCTACACACAACAAGGTGATTTGTGTGTGGAAGAGACCCATGATTACTACAACCCAAAGTGCCAAACCTCCTCACTCAGTCACTCTTAACCAAATTTTATAACCATGTTAGATTTTGGGGAAAGAGATAACTTTCGAAGACTAACCTCCATGTGGAAACCGTTGTAGTGGGGGAGCGGAGACACCCGACGGATGGAGGATGAGACAATAGAGGGAGAGATGTTGAAGCTACTTTATTCTTTAGTGAAGGAAAAAAAGTTATGGTACAAAGAGTCCACCATAACATATTTAGGACAAGACTAATCTAATGGTGCTCTATATACCACTTAACCTCCTTCCCCACCCTAGCCTTTGTCTATTAATGATATCAATTTTATTTATACAAGTGGCTGTCATATTCCGGCTAACTTGATGGATTTCAACCACCGTATTCATTGCCAGGCATATTAATTTACTGCATTCTCTCAATAACCCAGGATACTGCATACTGAATTTACCATACCATGTAACACATACCAGGTTTTGTTCAAAGAAAGTCTTGTATTAATAATGGAAATATTGAGTGATGGCAAAGCTAGGTGAAGAAGATTGATGATCTTCCCTTGGCTTTGCTCTAGCCTTGGAATCCTTCCTTGAACCCAAATTCTAGACATCAAAGTCCAGCAATGAAGAAGATGAATTGCGGAATTGAGAAAGGAAGGAAGCACCAAAGTGAAAGGAGCAATGGAATGCTCACAAATTGATGGATGAAACTTGAAGATGATTGATGTTCTTCAAGAACTCCATCGTCCAAGACCTTTGCTCCTTGAAGTTGAACACTTGAAGATGGCGGAAGCACCTTTGAGAAGTCTCCGATGGTGAAGAAGCATCCAAAGGAGGTTCGGTCACTCCTTGAGAAGGTGAAGAAGCTTGAGTAACCAAGCTTCAAAGGTTGAAAACCTTTGAAAGAAGCCTAAGGAGAAGGTTCTCCATGGATTCAAAGTGACTTTGGGAAGAGAGAATTTGTGAAAATTCTGAAATTCATTCATCAAAAGTGAGAGAAAAGAGTTACAAATATATAGAAAGAGGTAGTTTAGGGAGCAAGCTAACCTTAACCATGGTTCAAGTGAACCATGGTTTGGTTGACTTGACCGTCCAAGCTAGTTAAGAAGCTTGTAGAGCAAGTTTCTCACTTAGATTTCTTGGGAAGCAAGCTAAGGAGAAGCTTGTACCACAAGCTTCTCAAGGCTTGAAGAAGGAGAAGCAATTCAACCAAGAAGAACTAAGTGAGCTAGGCGGATTTGGTCCATTTTGGCTCCTTGAATTAATTTAAAAAATGGATGTTTGATTTGGTCTAGTTAGGTCCATCCAAAAATAATGAGAACTAGCTAGATAAAATCTATGAAAAATTAGGAGAAAAATGAGTCCAATAAATAAAATTTTTCCTAGGCCCATTTCTGGCTCAATTGTTAGTCATACCCTCAAGTATTGCTAAATGCCATCCCACTTCTACTTCTAAAAAAATAGAAAATGAGTGTACCTAAAAATGAGGTTAAATGGAGTCAAAGTCTCCAAGTAGCCTACCCTATAATCAATATACAATGATTAATAAGATGAAATAAAGTGTCTCACAAATACAAAGGCAAAAATAAGCCTATACAAGGAATCTATGTACAAACTATATACAATTAGAACTATGCCTCCTTGTTAGTCCCTTAGCCTCAATTAACTTAAGAGGGGGGGGGGGGGGAATTAAGTTATC